ATAAAGTTACGTTGAAACCAAGCACACCATTGTTTTTCTTGTGACATTACCAATAAGTTTGATGTGTCACATGGCCCTCTTCCTATTGAAAAAATAAAAGTTGTATCACTGCAACTCTCCTCTCTGTAAGTGTGAAATGTTTAACTACAGCAAAATCCTATCCTTACTGTGGTGTTTTTTCATCAGCCACATACAGTAACAGGAAAAAATGACTTCCTGCCAAAGATTTTTCCCCCCTCTGACAAGCAGCAGCAGGATCAGGCGATGTACTTTCAGTCATGCTATTGTTACTTTGTGGCAACACTGATGACTAAAGGATTTACCAAAGAACTAATTTTTTGTGGTCGCAATTCTCTCTCTGTAACAGCACAGTTCAGCACAAATGCACACCAACAAACAAACAAAACTTAATAAAACACATAAAAAGCAGTCACAGTATGCTCCCATTGAATAATCTGACAGTCAGAAATATATATACTCCTCCTGTTTTCTCTCATATGATGATGAATCCAGTGGATCATTGTAGCCCAGTGACTGTAAGATATTTTATACAGTCACTGGTGAGCCACTCCACACACACATATCAAGTTCAAAGGTCACAGAAATGGTACACCCGCTATGTCTTTGTTTAAAATTAGAGTTATTGCCAATAGGTTTGGGGGAAATACATTGATGGTAGGCAAAGCACTTTATATTACAGGGTAAAGACCTACAACAACTTTAAGGTAAGCTAATGGCTCACTCTCACTGGCTTTGACAGTTTATCAGCATTCATTGCTGTATTATCAGAAATAGACTGCAAACTGATCCCAGTCAATCACAGACTGATTTCATATTGACTGTCTCGTGGCAACAATTATGTCAGGATTTGTTGACAGTGTTGGTGTGTTTGATCGTCTCATTTTGGTGCAAAAAATAGTTGATCTGACTGGATGAAACTGATGTTGACAAAGTTTAACTTTGAGGACATAATTTGCAGAAACAAAGTGATAAATCACAGTTGTTGTTTTTGCAATACTCAGTATGTGGCAAAATGTTTCAAAAATGCAACAATATACTATCATGAGTGAAGTATGGTGATAGGATCCTATCGTGTGCTGTCTGGTGATTCCTGCCTCTAGACTTTGATCTTTGCTGATTGGCAACATTAACGTCCATCAGCACAGCGTTTCCCACTGAGAGCTGTGGACTGGCTGCACCTTGTTGACAGGCTGAGTGACACTTGGAGAGATGACTGACCTCGGTCTCAGGAGCTCAATTCTGCACTGAGCCTCAGCAGGCAGACAGATTCCCTGACATTTATTAACTGTACTTACTGCACGGGAGCAGAGAGTCCAAGATGAGTCCGTCTCTGTGTTGTGACTTTATGAGATTTCCAAATCACTGCATTTAGATTTTAAAACACAGAGTTTGTAAAACTGTGATTCAGATTAATTTAATTTTAGCTCATTGTTCTCCTGCTGGGCCCCATCTGTTGGTTCATGCTCACC